GGTAGTAGGTTGGTAGACAGCAACACCCAGGGAGGTACTACCGTCCTGTGGTAGTAGGTTGGTAGACAGCAACACCCAGGGAGGCACTACCGACCTGTGGTAGTAGGTTGGTAGACAACAACACCCAGGGAGGTACTACCGTCCTGTAGTAGTTGGTTGGTAGAGAGGAACACTCAGGGAGGTACTACCGTCGTGTGGTAGTAGGTTGGTAGACAGCAACACCCAGGGAGGTACTACCGTCCTGTGGTAGTAGGTTGGTAGATAGCAACACCCAGGGAGGTACTACCGTCCTGTGGTAGTAGGCTGGTAGAGAGGAACACCCAGGGAGGAACTACTGTCCTGTGGTAGCAGGCTGGTAGACAGCAACACCCAGGGAGGAACTACCGTCTTGTGGTAGTTCGTTGGTAGAGAGCAACACCCAGGGAGGTACTACCGTCTTGTTGTAGTAGGATGATAGACAGCAACACCCAGGGAGGTACTACCGTCCTGTGGTAGTAGGTTGGTAGATAGCAACCACCATGGGAGGTTCTCCCGTCTTGTCGTAGTAGGTTGGTAGACAACAACCACCCAGAGAGGAACTACTGCCCTGTGGTAGTAGGCTGGTAGATAGCAACCTCCCAGGGAGGTACTATCGTCATGTGGTAGAAGATTGGTAGACAGCAACCACCCAGGGATGTGCTATCCTCATGTGGTAGTAGGTTGGTAGACAGTAACCACCCACGGAAGTACTACTGTCCTGCCAAGTGAGTGTGACACAGAAACCTGTAATTGTTTTGCATGATGGTAGGATTGCTGGGTCTTTATCCTGTGTCATAAACACGCGGGATAACAGGTATATCTTGCCAATTCTATTTTCACTTATGTCACACTACAAAAGTATGCACATGCATATATATACATACACACATCTAAGTTTTTCTTCTTATTCATAATAACTCTTGTTCTTCTTTATTTCCTCAGTTCACTTAAGTGAAAAGAATCTTTCTTCCATAAGCCATGTGTGTCGCATGAGGCGACAAAAATGCCGGTAACAATGGGCTAGTAACCCCATCTCCTGTAGAAAATACTAAAATAGAGAAGATGTAAAACTTTATAAAACTCAGATGCTTGAAAATGCGTGGATGTAGTGCGGATGATAAGAACGAGATGAATGGAAATGTTATGAACGAAAAGAAGTTGGATCTCCTACCTCTAAGCAAAACAAAGCTGAAGGGGGTAGGGGAGTTTCAGTGGGGAGAAATAAACGGGATTAAGTCAGGAGTATCTGAGAGAGTTAGAGCCAAGGAAGGAGTAGCAATAATGTTGAAGGATCAGGTATGGAGAGAGAACAGGGAATATAAATATATAAATTTAAGGATTATGTGGATTAAAAAAGGGTTGGGTGCGAGAAGTGTATCATAGCAAGTGTGTATGAACCTGGAGAAGATAGGAGTGTAGACGAGAGAGATTTTGCGAGATGTTAAGCGAGTGTGTAGGAACTTTTGAACCAAGTGAGAGAGTAATTGTGGTAGGGGGCCTTAATGCGAAAGTAGGAGAAACTTTTAGAGAGCGTGTGGTAGGTAAGTTTGGGGTGCCAGGTGTAACTGATAATGGGAGCCCTTTGATTGAACTTTGTGCAGAAAGAAAAAGACGATAAATAAGCATACAAGATATGAGGAGGAGGAAGTTAGGGTAAGATATAAACTACATTGGAGGACAGATGGGCTAGTGAGAGTATAGGAATGGGGTCGATGATGTACAGTGTAGGTTTAAGAATGTAGTGTTAGAATGTTCAGCAGAAGTTTGTGGTTACAGGAAAGTGGGTGCGGGAGGGAAGAAGAGCGATTGGCGGAATGATGAAGTAAAGAGAGTAGTAAGAGAGAAAAAGTTAGGATATGAGAGGAGGTTGAGAGTGTGGTAAAGTAATGTAAAAAGAGAGCAAATGAGAGAGAGGGTGAGATGTTATAACCAAAATTTTGTTGAAAATAAAAAAAAAGTTTTGGAGTGAGATTAATAAGTTGAGAAAGCCTAGGGAACATATGAATTTCATAGTTCAAAATAGTAGAGCTCTATTAAATGGAGAGTAAGAGGTACCGGAAAGATGGAGGGAATAATTTAAGGAATTGTTAAATGTTGATGAAGATAGGGAAGCTGTGATTTCATGTATAGGGCAAGGAGGAATAAGATCTTGTAGGAGTGAGGAAGAGCCAGTTGTGAGTATGATGAAGTTCGTGAGGCAGTGGATAGAATAAAAGGGGGTAAGGCAGCTGGGATTGATGACATAAAGACATAGGTGTTAAAAGCAGGTGGGGATATAGTTTAGTAGTGTTTGGTGCTTTTATTTGATAAATGTCTTGAAGAGGGTAAGGTACCTAGGGATTAACAAATAACAAAAAAAGGCACAATACCGTGACTGGAACGATACACAAATAACCCGAACATAGAAGAAAGGAGCTTACGACGACGTTTCGGTCCAAGTCGGACCCAAACGTCGTCGTAAGCTCCTCTCTTCTATGTGCGAGTTATTTGTATACCTAGGGATTGGCAGAGATCATGCATAGTTCTTTTATATAAAGGCAAAGGGGACAAAATAATGCAGAATTTATAGGGGAATAAGTCTGTTGAGTATACCTGGTAATGTGAATGGTAGAGTTATTGTTGACAGAATTAAGAATAAGACGGAGAGCAGAATAACAGATGAACAAAGAGGCTTTGGGAAAGGTACGGGGTGTGTAGACCAAGTGTTTACAGTGAAACATATAGGTGAACAGCGTTTAGATAAGGGTAAAGAGGTTTTTGTGGTATTTATGGATTTGGAAAAGGCATATGACAGGGTGGATAGGGGACAATGTGGCAAATGTTGTAGGTGTATGGTATAGGAGGTAGGTTATTGAAAGCAGTCAAATGTTTTACGAGGATATTGGGACTCAGGTTAGAGTATGTAGGGAAGAGGGAGATTTTTTTCCCATTAAAAGTAGGCCTTAGACATGGATGTGTGTTGTCAACATGGTTGTTCAAAGTACTTATAGATATGGTTGTAAGAAGAGTGAATGCTCTGGTGCTGGCATGAGGTGTCTAATTCAAAGTGAGAGTTGTCACAGTTGCTCTTTGCTGATGGCACTATGCTTTTGGAAGATTCTGATGAGAAGTTGCAAAGGTTGGTGGATGAGTTCAGAGTAGTATGTAAAAGAAGAAAATTGAAAGTGAATATAGAAAAGAGTACGGTGATGAAGATAAAAAAAATTAGGTAACGACATATTGGATATAAGATTGGAGAGAGAGAGAGAGAGAGTTTGGAAGAGGTGAATGTATTCAGATATTTTGGAGTGGATGTGTCAGCAGAGGGGTCTTCGAAAGATGACGTGAATCATAGAATTGACGAGGGTAAGAAGATGAGTGGTGCATTAAGGAGTCTGTGGAGACAAAGAACTTTGCCCAAGTGAGCAAAGAGGGGAATGAATGAGAGTATATTTATACCAACTCTCTTGTATGGGTGTGAAGCATGGGTGGTGAATGTTGCAACAAGGAGGAGGCTGGACGTAGTAGAGATGTCGTATCAAAGGGCAATGTGTGGTGTGACTATAATGCAGAGAATTTGAAGTTTGGAAATTAGGAGGAGGTGCAGAATTACCAAAACTATTATCCAGAGGGCTGTGGAGGGGTTGTTGAGGTGGTTCGGACATGTAGAAAGGGTGGAACGAAATAGAATGACTTCGAGAGTGTATAAATCTGTAGTAGAGGGAAGATGGGGTAGGGGTAGGCTTTGGTATAGTTAGAGGGGGGTAAATGACGTTTTGTGTGCAAGGGAGTCACCGCAAGAGAGAAGAAGATGTTACCCTCCACCCGGAGGGCCCAAGAAAGAAGACAGAAGAAAGAAGATGAACGACACCCCCAACCCGGGGGCCACCGCCGGGTCACCATCTGGAGAAGACCCGGGCCGGAAGTACCGGCAATCCCTAATGAATGTGCAAAGGGCTTGGACTTCAAGAAAGCATGCATGAGGGTGTTAGATAGGAGTGAATGGAGATTAATATTTTTTAGGACTTGACGTGTTGTTGGAGTGTGAGCAAGGTAACATTTATGAAGGGATTCAGGGAAACCGGCAGGCCAGACTTGAGTCCTGGAGATGGAAAGTACAGTTCCTGCACTGTGCTTCCCATCTCTAGGTCTCTGAAGAAGGGGTGTTAATGAGGTTAATGTTGCAAGTAAGCCTTTGGTAAGACAGTGATGGAGTGAATGTTTGTGAAAGTTTTTCTTTTTAGCAGCACCCTGCCTTGATGGGAAGCGGACGATGTGTTACTAAAAAATAGAGTATATATACTGTATGAGGGTGCATTTCTTTGATTACAGGTGAATAAATTGCTTAATTTTCTGTTATATATAACACTGCATTTAACAGATAATTTATGTTTGCGTTATATCAATGGTCAACATTTTTTGAAAAGTTGTATGCTTCTAAGATTAATAATAATAATAATAATAATAATAATAATAATAATAATAATAATAATAATAATAATAATAATAATAATGTCTTTATTTACTACAAGTACATGTACAAGGTATACAGACCATATCTGAGATCAATGACATTCTACTGTATAGAAAACTCTTGTTATGCTGAGTATTTCGGGCAAATTAGGTCGGTGTCCCAGGATGGGATCCACACCAGTCGACTAACACCAGGGTACCCATTTTACTGTTGGGGAATAGATAACAGGTATAAAGAAACACGCACAATGTTTCTACCCTGGCTAGGAAACGAACCCAGGCCCTCGCCGTGCGAAGTGAGAGTTTTAGCCAACAAGCCACCAGAGCCCTCTTAAGTATTTTCATGCCCTGAATCCAAATATCACATTGAAAAATGCTTTTTTGCTGTAGGTTTAAAGATACGAGATCTGTAGTATTTCATTATTTTATTATAACGTACAATATGTGTCAGTATGTTTTAAATTCTAATCCGTACCTACTCTCTGCCTTTTTTCTTGATGCTTATAGTGGGCTGAAGAATCATCTCTTGCCAATGTCCAGCAAGAGTCTGCGAGCATTCTTGTGAACCAATTGCCGTGGTACCATTTTTCTATGGTTGAAATATCTTCGTGAAACCTTTCACCATATTCATCACTGCCCCGCAGTTCGCTGGAAAACAATCTAATTATTTTTTTGTAATAACACATTAGTAGTGATGATTTCTACAGTATGGCTCCTATGGCTGAGTGGCTCCTCCTGAAAAGGCCTTCTACAGAGTGGCTCCCTTTCCTGAGTGGACTCCCAGGACCCCCACCCACGACCCCCACCCACGACCCCCACCCACGACCCCCACCCACGACCCCCACCCACGACCCCCACCCACGACCCCCACCCATGACCCCCACCCACGACCCCCACCCATGGCCCACCCTCGACCACCTCACCCTCGACCATCTTGACCTCACCCTCAATCACCCACCCACAACCCCACCCTCGACCACCTCACCCTCGACCACCTTGACTTCACCCTCGACCACCTAACCCTCAACCCCCCACCCACGCCCTCCCGTCCATGCACCCGCCCGCCATGCCCTCGCGCCCGTGTTATTGCTATTCTCACTGCTGAACAGCGGTTTAGTGCCGATGAAGGTAGCATAGGTAGCAATGATATGGCCGTGGACTAGTTTGGCTTTAATTAGGTAGGAGTGAGTACTCAACGGGCAGTGTGAGGGAGTGACCGCAAGCCAGTCCGTGGAGGGGGAGCACTTGTGTCTGTCAAGTCGGTCGGCCTAGGAGTGAGAGCAGCTGTCCAGCTTTTCCTAGATACAGGTTCGGTGGTTAACATTGTCCACTCCACTTTTTTCCGAGACATTGGCCTTCACGCGGCCATGTTGACAGAGCCATCTGCCATTCAGACCTTGAGAGGAGTCTCAGGTAATCCGCTGATGGTTCGTGGTCGTACAACATTAGAATTTGCGATCCAGGGTCACAAGCTGTCCACAAAATTCTTAGTCATAGATGGTATTGTTTTCCATGGTGACCTGCTCATAGGGTTCAGAACCATGGCAGACCTTAGGATCCGCTTAGATCCATCTGAGTGGAAGGCAGAATTCAACGGAGTGGATGTGCCCTTCTGGGGCGTGCGCTTAGGATCCACTATGTGCTACTCTGTCTCAGAGTATGCACAGTGCCTAGAATCGTTGGAAACCGGTGGTTTCCATAGCACATTCTCCCCGGGGTTGGTCTCTTGTCCTGATCGACCTCGTAGTAGAGCTCGTTGCCCGTCACCTCCTGGCCATCAGCGCTTAGTTACCAGTGAAACCCAGTCTGGGGACGCCCAGTCTAACCTTCACTCTAACTCTGACGCTGTTGTAGAGAACAGCAGTTGTCAAGCCGCAGTATTCCTGTCGGCAGGCGACTGTCTGACTCGTGTCATGGCATCAGCGAGCAGAGTTACTGCTTGTACAAAGTATGACGTCACTTTGTCAGCTAACTCGCTCACTCCTGTTACGGTGTATGTGAGCAGAGCTTTTGAAGGAGACCATGTGCTGGTTGACAACGACACGTGCCGAGTCAAGGGCCTCTCCCTTGAACCATCCTTGCACACAGTGCAACGTGGTAAGTTGCAAGTCCCTGTTGTCAACATGCATAGTCGAGAATTTCCCCTGCGGAAGAATACCTCACTTGTCGACCTTGTCAGATTCCCTCTCCCGGTGAGAGTGGAGGGTGAAGCCCCAGCTGACTTCCTTGTGAGTGTAGTTCTCCCAGGCGAGTCTGCTGCTGACTCTTCCAACACCCGGCCAGTGCAGGAAGATGATCTAGCTTTGACAGACTATCCTGAAGAGGTCCTAAAACTTCTCCAGGTTCTCAATCGTGCACGTTCTGCAGTCGCACTAGATGGTGAGTCAATGGGTTTGACCTCACTGATCTCTCACCGTATTCCACTTGACTAAGGTACTAAACTCATTTACATACCTGCGTATCGCCTGCCACATGCGCAAAGAGTCTTCGCTGAAGAACTCATTACACAGATGCTCCGTGATGGAGTTATTGAGGAGTCCACTTCCCCCCCCCCATGGAATGCTCCCCTTATTCTGGTCCCCAAGAAGGAAGGAACCTGGCGCCCTGTGATCGATTACAGGAAACTGAATGCATGTACGATCCCGGACCGCTTTCCATTGCCAGTTCTGAACGACCTGTTGCAGAACATCGGCGATAATAAGGTCTTTTCAACTCTTGATCTTCTTCAAGGGTTCTGGCAGATCCCCCTCGATGATGAGAGCAGAGAGTTGACAGCTTTCTCTACGCCAACTGGGCATTACCAGTTCAGGAGGATGCCTTTCGGCTTGCGCGGAAGCCCAATCACATTTAGTCGTTTGATGACGACAATTTTCCGTACCCTCCTAGGTGGCATGCTCATGGTCTACCTGGATGATCTCATAGTCATGTCGCAAGATGTCCCGTCACATCTTGAGAAACTTGACAGGGTATTGGACAGGCTAGCTCAGGCAAACCTTAAGGTAAAGCTCTCCAAATGTCATTTCCTCCGGAAGGAAATAAAATTTCTGGGTCACGTAGTGACTCAGAATGGCATAAAGACGGACGAGTCTAAAATCTCGGCCGTGCAGAAATTCCCATGGCATCAGTAAAGTCTTTGGCGGCTTGCTCAAACCGGCAAATGCAAGCCAGGGGGCTTTCGTGCCGGTATTGACATTCGGCCAAGACGCTGGTAACGATATCAATGTAATGGCGTTGGCGACTATGCCGAAAATAACGCCTAAATTCCTCCTTAAGTTCGTCCCAAGATTGAATCTTACAAACGCGATTGAGCTGCACAAAGGCACCTATATCATCCTGGGTGAGATCCACTGCTGCAACAGCAGCACGAATGTACTGTGTATCCGTGGGACTATCAAATAGAGCCTGAACAGTCGTTTTGACTGACTGCAGCCATGGCTCTAAACTATTTGAACGACCGTCAAAAATAAGGGTCGGGTATGGACGATGAGCCGGCCCACTGGTGGTCGAGGCTTGAGCCACAAGTTGACCAACTGTCACGGGGGCTTCGATGCCCTGCCGCGTGTTCACGCTGGCTGAGGCACCATTGCTAGCACCAGCAGAATCTGGACTAACGGCATGGCCACTGCGTGTCTTAGTCATGACGTCAATTGTTCAAATGCAAGCAGGTCACGAAGAGGGTAAACAGGTCAGAGCAAGAAATGGTATGCACTGGCTACAATTCAACACAGAGTCAGAGAGAACACAGCACCACGGTACTAGGTAAACTGCTTAGTGATGGAAATAATTTGAGCAAAACAACAACAAAAAAAAGAAATAGTGGTACACTCTGAAACACAAAATAAGAGATGTATGCAAGTGAATGAACTACAGGGAAGTGCACAAAATGAAGCTAAGGGTGGTCAATAATTTCACCAGGAGTCTGGCAACAAAATTTATGAAAAGGAGTTGAACTGTAAACACTGGTAGCAAAAATTGCACAAAAATTAAAATAAATTAGGTACTACACAACACTAAACTGTGCTGCAAGCACAGTTTAAAAATATTGCAGGTGCTAGCAGTTGCAAATTAGAATGAAAAAAAAAAAGTAATTCACTTGCACAAAGGGAAGTTGACACAGCAAAGATATCAGAGAATGGAATTGTGCCAAAACTCACAGAAAAAAAAATACACTGTATCAAAGAATGCTATATTGCACACAAAATAAAATTAATAAAAATGCAAATTATTAAATTCAAGAATAGGGCAAAGGTTAACTGGTGTTAGCAGGGTGTATACTGATGTTAGCAGGGTGTACACTGGTGTTAGCAGGGTGTACACTGGCAAAACAAAAATTTCACAATCTCAAGGTCAAAATTAATGAACTTCACAAGTAATTTTGGTAATTAATGGTAAATAAGCAGGTTCTCAAAAATACACTCAATGACTTGGGTATACAAAATAGCAAAATGTAATGCACATAGGTGAATATTCACCTATGTGGGAATATTCACCTATGGGGAAACAGGAGAAAAGTGTAATGGGCTAGGCACAGATTGTTTCACTGCAGGTAGAATAAACTAATACTTAAGTACTTGAAGATTACATTTATTAAAAGAAAGAAAAATTAACAAACAAAACAGTGCAGGGGTGTGAACAATCTGTGACTAACTTGCAGGTGCAACTAACAAAATTAACAGTACACAGGAATTACTTGCAACTGTATGTGAGAGGTAAATTGTATAAATGGTTAACACTGAACAATTTAAATCAAGAACTGAAGTGCAAGAAGCAGAATAAAATACTGGAATTTAAAAATGTAGGAGTGCAAAATAAATGTACAAAATTTAAGAAGCTGTAGGTAAGTGGCAAAATGTGCACTGATGACAAACTGAACAATTTACTGAAGTATGGCTTCAGTAACTGTAACTGTATTGGTGCAGGACAGTTAAATAATGTCACAAAATATTAGGAAATGCTAGGTAAGTCACTGTTTACTTAACTTTGAGTGCAGGAGATGGACGAAAATACGGGTGCTGCAGGTCCTGAAACTTTCACTGATGCTCTAGTAACACTACACGCCTCGTAGCATTTGTATACTGCTATGGGGCTTCAATGTCGTAGGAAAAATTATCAGAATGGACTTGGGAAGAACAGGAAGACCGGGGCTACTCTGTGGAGGTATAAGATATGAGAGAGACGTGGCTAACTCAGCGTGATCCACAGCTGTGAGTGGTTTGTTTACACTGGCAAGCGTGTCTGGGCGCGCTGACTGACTGCGGCTTCAGCACACGGAGAACAAAACATTTACTGCACTACTCGAACGTGCTAAAAACAAGCTTAAGTGAAACTTTGAACTGGGACGAGTAAGTTTTACTGTAACAAATCACTGGGGAAAACAGAACTGGTGATGAACTGGGAATGTAACAGCAAGGGAAAGAAAAAAAAATAAACTGGGCAACACAAAAAAAACTGCACTGGCTGGAGATACGTAGACGCTGAGTAGTTGTAGACACTATGATGAGTCACGAGCTACTGTAGACGCTGAACTGAGCTGGCTTAGGGGCTAAGCCAACTGGGTTCCCACGTGGTTAAGCCAGGTAGAACTT